CAGGTTGGACACAGGGGCTTGGAGCAACCTGCTCTAGTGGAAGGTGTTCCAAGGGATTGGAGCTGGGTGAGATTTAGGGTCCCTTCCAACCCAAACCATTCTACGAATTAAAACCCCAGCAGTGCTTAGAGTGAGTGACCACAGCACACTAACATTCCTAGTAAGTGGAAGTCCCTAATAAATAAATGGAGTCCCTGATAAATGCATCTGGAGTGTATTCCAAAAGGAAATCAATCACTGATTAGTTTAATCAGAAGCAAAAAGGATGCAGAAAGGCAATAGCAGTGATTGTTGTTGAAGCTTCCTTGAGGGGTTCAAAAGGCTGCACTCAGAACTGTTGTATTAGTTAAAAACAACCCAGCCTAGATTTGAGGTGAAATAAACAGTATAAAAATATAACAAATAAACAGGTAGTATATATAGAAATCTAGGAGTTATGGAAAATTGGTAAAGGAAGCAAAAAGGGATGTGTATGACAAGATAACTAAAGAGATGTTTATAGAGGAAATGCTTTCAAAGATTCCTGACCATGGTATGAGTCCCTTACTCTGTGGAAATAGAAATAATACTAGTGAGTAGTTAATGACAATCCAAAAGGTAGAGGCAGAACTACTATTCCTGTTCTATAGATTGAAATAAACCCAGGCAGTGTAGTCATAGGAAATGACAAACCCCTTTTCATTCTGTGGGACTGCAGGTGGCTGTTGGAAAGTGAACATAAAACTCAGATTAGAAGGTTCAGAGAGTTCATGTCAAAGTGGTTTACGAGACCTGAACAACAAAGATCTTACACCACGGTCTTGCAGGACCATGGAATTGGGGAAGAAATTGCTGAAGTTAATGGGGATGCTGATATTTTAATGGATAAAGAATCCTGGAAATCATGGGTTTGTCAGTGTCACTGAAACACTTCCAAAGACTGGAATATCCACACATCTCATGCAGACTGGGCCAGTCAGGGGGAGTCAAAGTCAACTGTAAGAGGGGCTGTTCCTTGGAAAGAGCATTTCTGTCCTGCTCCAGGGAGCAGGATTTGTCTCTAGTGACAACCCAGAGCTCCATCTTGCTGTGGGAGCAGAGAGGCTACAGGGATGTGGAAGCACTTGCATGGGGAGCAGACCTGTGATGACCACGAGACAACAGGAAGAGATGCAGGGAAAGTGAAGCTAGGAGCCAAGCTGAACCTAGGAACCTGAGTTTCCTGCTTTTTCAACTCCCAGAGGACTGGGATGCTTCTTCAACAAGGGATGAAGCATTTGACTCAGAGATTTGCTATATGAGGTCTTATGGCCAAAATGGGTTTGTTAGACTCTATTAACATGCACCTTGTCTTGGAACTGAAGTCACCTTGCACTAACAAAGTCCACATATCCCCCAGGAGACAACTGTACAGTCAGGCAACGCTTGCCCAGAGAGAGGTGCTGGTGATGGACATGCCATAATATTCCCTTTCTGTTGTGTAGTCCATTAACCTTCATAATCCAGAGTAGGACACCCCTCCGGAGGGCCCCTCTCCGTGACTTCGATGGCAGGGTGCCTCTGCAAGCTCTGTCCTCTGTGCACAGCTGTGAAACAACAATCCAACAGCAAACCCACAGCCCAGCACCTCCTGGCACAGCCCAAAACTCACTGTGAACAGCAACACTGTATTTCCTTCAGGAAAAGCATGAGTCCTCTTAAGATCCATGGCTAACACGGTCAGCACTGTGACCAGAAATGTGCTGTTCCTAACATGTTTGTCCTACATACAACCTCACAGCTCAAACTTGTGGTATAACTGCCTCTTCCCTGCTGTTATTGCAGCAGGAGAGAGGCAAATATGCAATATACCTGTGAATATGCATCCTCTTTATCACTGGGACATAACAGATGTGACCATGGTAGGACTGATGTGACCAGTGGCTGAGGGCAACTCTTGTTCTCCATGTGCTGGGCACACAGGGCAAACAGCTTTCCCAGCCCCTCATTCAGGAGAGCCTGAAGTGGGTGGGAAGCAGTGAGGCTCCAGACTTCAGACAGACTTTTACAGCAGGATAGTTATTTATAGCAGCCTGAAACAGAAGCAAGAGCCTAGAGAGCAGCAAGAAAGAGGACACGGCCTGGCTATGGCCAAGTCTGGCGTGCCGACCGTGCAGCACCGCGGCTTAACTGCAGGGCTTGCAGCACACACACATGGGAAAGTTCCCTTTGGGGCCCCATGGGGTGTTGTCATGCAGCTTCTCATGGCTCTTTTCACCCCCTGCACTCCACTACGGTGAATGGGGTTAGTATTCCCCCTGCCCCCCCAGGCAGCAGTGACTGGCAGCAGCGAGGGAAGGAGGATCCGACCTGCTGCTGAGCCAGGCCAACCAGCTACGCTGGCCCCCAGGCAGCATCTGCCCCCAGGCAAGAGGCATGTGGCAGCTGGAGGTAAAGGAGGATGTTTTCCCTTGGGTTTTCAGTTCCAGTGTGGGGAAAAGCTGTCAGCAGCACTGGAGAGTGGGAATCCTAGGGGGTATAAGCCAGTGTGCCCCTAAAGCCCCTGTGCATTAGGCTGGGCTTTTCCCAGTGGTCTCCAACACCATCTTTATCCCAGCACAGCATCCTTAGTGGGAATACACAGCACCTTGTCTGCAGGACAGCAACCTCCCTGGCCAGCACCCAGCTGAGCATAGGGCCAGGACTTGGGCTATGAGCTACTCATCTGCAGCACAGCAGTTCCTTCGAAGGTGGCTTTGGCTCCTCCAGCCTTCTCTACTAATGCCAGCCCAAACTGGCCTCCAGATGGGTGCTTGTCCCTGCTCTTCATACCTCAAAGCCTGGAGTGGCTATACCCAAGCAAATGAGATCTCTCCCATCAGTGGCTGCTCAGATGCTCACAGCCCCCTGCCTGGGGCTCCTTCCCCGCTCTGCACATGGCAACACAGAGAGCATCTTCCTGCCCCCCAGGGAAGTGAAAAGGAAGGATGCAAGAGGCAGGATCCAGTATTCAAGAAAACGTCTTTATTGTACACGTTGTCTTCTATTGCTTATATCCCCTCCCCAACCCCATGTAGTGCAAAAACTTCAGAGAAACAGAGTTCCACATAAATAAGTCAGATAACTTACAGAGAAATCAAAGTGACAAGGGTTTGACATGGAGTAAACCGGGTCTGCCCACCGGTAAGACCAAGGAACCCCCTCCCCACACGTCAGGGTGAGGGCTCCTGCCTGGCCTTGCAGACTGACACCGGGGTCCCTGGGTGAACCACATCAACACACACAGCCCCGGAGCCACCCGCTGGGAGATGCTCCTGCGCTGCGAAAAGCTCACATGGGGAATTGCACAAGTAACATGGTGGGTGAGACACCACTAAACTAAAACTGGCAGAGAAGCCACGCACAGTTGACAGTTCTCCTCCCCTCAGATAGGGTATTAGACAGACAGACACAGACACACATCCCCTCTGAGGCCTCCTCCTCAGCAAGGGATGTGCAGCACCAGAAGCGAGTCCACCCTGGGATCTCCCAGGGTAGATGCTGACACCTCGTGTCCACACAGTGTGGGTCAGGGTGCTCCGGACCCCCGCAAGCTGCTGGGGATCTCTTTTGCCCTTTCCTTCCTTCTTACTCTTTCACAGGAAAGCAGTGAGCACCTGCATAGTTAGAACATCACAGACACAAAAAGCTCCCTCCCCTCCAGGTTTCTGCAGAACAGGCTCAGTGGTGATATTGCTCAGGACCCACGGGAGGGGGTGACAGGAGCCACACTGCCTGTTTCCCTGGTCCTCAGGAGGCAGGGCAGCATTGCACACCATTGGTGTGCTAAAGATTACAACTGAGGCCAAGGGCTCATGGCATAAAACTTCTCCTCAGCCTTCTACATAGCTCACCTCCCTTCCAGTTTTGCCTGCCTGCTGCCCCCATAAAGGCAGCAGCCCCCATTCACGCTAACAGCCACAGCTGGCCAGATGTGAACCATCACTAGAACAACTCCTTGGTTGAAATCAGCCCTTCAGCAGTTGCTCTATGCCCTTCAGCAGGCTGGCTGGGCTCTGCTGTCTTTACACCATCCCTCACACAGAGGCCTCAGCAGGACCTCAGCACCCTTTACTTCTGATACAGCCATGGGGCTTTTAGGGTGATCCTGTTCAAAGAGCACCCTAAGTCAGGGCCACCTTGAATGCACTGGTCCAGCAGAAGACTAGAATCCTGATGTTGCTTACAGGAGTGGGATGGAAAGGTGTTCAAGGCCAGGCTAGATGGAGTCTTGGGTGACATGGTTTAGTGTGAGGTGTCCCTGCCCATGGCAGGGGGTTGGAAAGCGATGATCTCAATGTCCTTTCCAACCCAAACCATTCTATGATTGAGACCTCATGCATGCAGCAGTGCAGATTTCACCCATTCCATCATTACTGCCAACA